AATTATATATTTTTAAACGGCATGATTTCATATAAAGTACGGCTTATGCCTAACAACTTTTGCTTGACTCCGCACTAACCGCGAATGTCATTTGATAATAGATCCATCATTAAAAAACTTTCCTAGAAGACTGCCTTTCTGGAAGATTAAGAAAAGGTAGCCAAACGAGTACAAGAAATTTATTGATAAAAAAAACCTATAACATTTGAGAATTGCCCTCGATTTCTCTGGGATACCTCATCAGATCCGGGTTTCCTTATCATAGTACCGTCCTTGGGATATCCCCTTTCCAACAAAAAAAGAATCATCAAGATTCATAAGCGACGAAGTTATCCGCGAACACACACAAAAATATATATACCGTCGTATTGATAACCTCCTTCTTTTTTGAAGTCGGTTAAAAAGTGAGGATCACGAAGATTAATATGACATTTTATTAACAATGATCCTACTCCGAAGATAAAGTCTCAATGCGCACAAACTTTAAATTGGATTACTATGCAAGTAGACCACGTCGTTAAACGCTGCACGTAGGATGTTTCAATTTAACTTTTTGTTACTGAACTGCACTGAGACTTCAACAAAGTAAGAACTAGCTTTACGGCTTTCGCTTCATGTAACCGACTTAACCGTTTGCTGGGCAAGTTTTTGCAAATTTAAATGTCACATTATCACGAAATGGTTTCTTGGAAACCTTATATTGTTTGTTTTGCTGTGCCGTTTTATTCGTGTTTTATATTGACTCTATGGTGTATTTTATTACATTTGTTTGAAAATATTATGGAAACAAATCACTACATCGTATAAAACAAAGTCGCCCCGCTGTCTGTCAGTCCCTATGTATGCGTAAATCATTAAAAGTACGCAACGGATCTTGATGCGGTTCTTTTTTGAAGTAAAACTTGTTTAGGCGCGACTAGGGAGTAACTCAGATTTTTTCTGACGGAAGTAACGCTTTTTCTGACGGAAGTAACGTCATAAGTATATGTCATATTTTTAAAATATGACATATACTTATGACGTTACTAAATATTTAATCATTTCAGTGATATATGCCGTCAACGCCACAGAAGTTTTACTTCAATCGCGCGTAAAGGTTACACGCACACACTTTTTTTTACTAGATAGAGTGAATTAAGAGGAAGGTTTATATATATAATACATTCCACTCGTGCAAAGCCGAGGCGGATCGCTAGTTTACCTATAATTTACGTACAGATATTGTCAAATGCGAATGGCGAAGTAAGATTAATAGAATTGGTAAATTCCTTCTTATAGCTTGGTGAACCACTAGAGACCATTTTGGTCACGGTGTGACTGTAATATATGTATTGTTCTTGTCGGTAGAAGATTATAATGTTTTCGGCATGTACCCTCGTCTAATGAATCAGTCAATAAATGGCGGTTGTACTATTCAACAGCCCGTGGGGTGTCCGGGAAAGAATAGCACCCATTTCATCCGAGGGTGTCGTAGGAGGCGACTAAGGGAAAAATCCAGAAGTTGGGCAGCAGCGGCTTCCGTGTACATAACATCTATAACTGCGATCCCCAAGACACCTGCCAAGCGTGGGGATAAAGGCAACAAGACACACTTTCTGCATGGCCCCCAGTCCCCGGCAGCTCCACTATTCCTGCCTTTGGTAGCAGGCAAGGTAACGGTGGAGCAGGGGGTGCTAAGAATCTCCGGCAGATGCCACGCTACCACCCCAAACAGACCTTGGGCCTGGCAACACACAATGTCCGCACGCTCAGGACTGGCGATGGGACATACTGGGACTATCAGAAGTCCGACGAGAGGGGCAGGATACGATAGTTCTGGATTCCGGCAACATGCTCTTCTTCCGGGAAGGAGACCGTAAATCCCAGGGTGGTATTGGGTTTCTCGTCCGTAAGCCCCACATAAACAACGTAGTGAAGAAGACAGTGTGTCGAGTAGGGTAGCGTACCTTATACTCAGAATCACCGATCGGTATTCGCTGAAGGTCATACAGGTATATGCGTCGACCTCGACACATCCCGATGACGAGGTAGAGGCTATGTATGAGGAGATATCAGCAGCCATACATACCTCCAAAACTTACTTCACGGTTGTTATGGGGGACTTCAACGCAAAGGTTGGCGCCAGGCAAGGCGATGCGTTGAGAGTGGAACCAGAGGGGTAGAATCTGGTCGATTTTATGGAGAAAGAGGGACTCTACTTTATGAACTCCTTCTACCAGAAGCGTCCGTCCAGAAAGTGGACTTGGATAAGCCCCGATGGTTCAACCAAAAATGAGATCGACTTCATCATGACGACCAAGAAGCGAATATTCAATGATGTCTCCGTGATCGGCAGGGTGAAAACCGGTAGTGATCACCGTATTGTTAGAGGCACATTGAATATCAACGCGAAGCTTGAAAGGTCACGCCTGATGAAGTCCACGCTCCGACCTTGCCCTGCCCAAATCCAAAATTCCGAAAGCTTTCAACTCGAACTACAAAATCGCTTTCAGTGCCTTGAAGAATGCGAATCAACGGACGAGATGCACAATGGGTTGGTGGAAGCCTTCCACACAGTGGGTTCTAAGTTCTTTAAGGCCCCGCGCCCGAATAAACCTCAAAAGCTCTCCCCACAGACCATTCAATTAATGAAAGATCGAACAGAGATGAGACTGCAATCTTCAGTTGATATATCGGAGTATGGCAAAATCAATAGACGAATCTCAAAATCCATGCGACACGACTTGCGGTCCTATAATGCACAGCGTATTAAAGCCGCAATCGAGCGGAACCAGGGCTCTAAAGTGTTTGCAAGGCATTCGTGTATTGGGCAAAGCCTAATGACAAAGTTGAAGATCGACGACGGCAGTGTCATCTCATCGAAACCGGACATTTTGAGGGAGCTTGAAAGGTTTTACGGACAGCTGTACACCTCGACATGTAAACCCATTGTCAGAACAGCTCAGGACACCAGAGCTAGGTTGACCCGACACTACACTGAGGATATCCCAGACATCAGCCTGTATGAGATTAGAATGGCTCTGAAACAGCTTAAGAACAATAAGGCACCGGGTGATGACGGAATTACGACTGAACTTCTGAGAGCGGGTGGAAAACCGGTACTACAAGTCCTTCAGAAGTTGTTCAATTCCGTCATACTTCAAGGCACCACGCCAGAAGCATGGCATAGGAGAGTGGTGGTGCTTTTCTTCAAAAAGGGAGATAAGACCCTGTTGAAGAACTATAGACCCATCTCGCTCCTGAGCCATATATATAAGCTGTTTTCTAGAGTCATTAACAATCGTCTTGAACGCAGGTTTGATGACTTCCAGCCTCCCGAACACACCGGGCCGGGTTCCGGAAAGGCTTTAGCACCATAGACCACATCCATACGCTCCGCCAGATTATACAGAAGAGCGAGGAGTATAATCGGCCATTGTGCTTAGCGTTTGTGGACTATGAGAAAAGCCTTCGATTCAATCGAGACCTGGGCGGTATTGCAGTCCCTCCAGCGATGTCATATCGACTATAGGTATATCGAAGTTCTGAAGTGTTTGTATAGAAACGCCACTATGTCCATCCGTCTTCAGAATGAGAGCACGAAAGCAATCCAATTGTAGAGAGGCGTGAGACAGGGAGACGTCATTTCTCCGAAACTGTTCACGACCGCATTGAAGGATGCTTTTAAGCTCTTGGACTGGGACGGATTCGGCATCAATATCAACGGCAAATACATCACTCACCTTCGTTTTGCCGACGATATAGTCATAATGGCTGAGTCGCTGGAGGACCTTAACACTATGCTCAGGGACCTCAGTAACGTTTCCCAAGAGGTGGGTCTTAAAATGAACATGGGCAAGACGAAAATCATGTCAAATGCCCATGTCAAACCCATACCAGTTATTGTTGAGAACGATACACTCGAAGTTGTCGACCATTATGTCTACCTTGGACAAACGGTCCAGTTAGGCAGGTCCAACTTCGACAAAGAGGTCACTCGAAGAATCCAACTCGGATGGGCAGCGTTCGGGATCTTTTCGTCCAATATTCCACAGTGCCTAAAGACAAGGGTTTATAACCAGTGTGTGTTGTCAGCGATGACGTATGGCACTGAGACGTGGTCTCTAAAAGTTGGCCTATTGGAGAAGCTCAGAGTCACACAACGAGCTATGGAGAGAGCTATGCTCGGAGTTTCTTTGCGCGACAGAATCCGGAATGAGGAAATTCGCCGAAGAACCGGAGTCACCGACATAGCTCTCCGGATCTGCAAGTTGAAGTGGCAGTGGGCAGGCCACATCGCTCGAAGAACTGATGGCCGATGGGGAGTAAAGGTTCTCGAGTGGCGACCACGAACCGGAAGACGTAGCGTTGGAAGGCCTCCCTCTAGGTGGACCGACGACATCATAAGAGTCGCGGGGAACCGGTGGATGCAAATGGCAAAGTGTCGTTCGTTGTGGCGTTCTAAGGGGGAGGCCTATGTTCAACAGTGGACGTCTTGCGGCTGATGATGTACTATTCAACGCGTTTTAATATCTGCTCCCGAATCCCTCAAATAGTGAAGGACATTACAGTGGCGACGAGTTTATTTTTGTTAATAATTGATTAATTAAAAGTTAAATTCACGCGTCAAAATGTCTATATTCGGAAGTGTGTCCGTCTTCGATTGCAAAACAGACGAATGGATTGTACACGTAGCGCAGCTAAATAATTTCTTCGTGGCAAATGAAATTAATGAAATTACCGATCCACATGGAACGAAAAGACAAGCAATTTTATTGAATGGCATGTCTCAGGACTCCTATCGTCTGACACGCGATTTATTGCATCCTGATGCGCCTGAGTCAACGGATTATAATGTTATTATTTCTACGCTTAATGGTCACTTCGATCCCAGGAAATGCGTATACGCAGAAAGGCAGAAATTTTATGCAGCTGCAAAGGAACCTCGAGAGTCATTAACTGAGTTTGTCGCTCGTCTTCGTGGTTTAGCGTCGGAATGTTATTTTGGGTCGTCACTAGAAATGTGTTTAACGGACCGTTTTGTACTGGGTATTGACTCAGCTTCGGTCCGTGAGAAGTTGTTTAGAGAAGACCCGAATGTGACCCGAGCTGTAGATCTAGGGCGCGCTGTGGAGAGTGCGCAGCGTATTGTATCTGCTGGTGAATTGGTACCGGTGACCAAAACGGAGTCATTACTTTATACGGAGTCCCGTCGGAGAGGCAGCACGCGCACCGGTCGCAGCGCTGGTGGCAGCGCCGGTGGCAGCGCCGCTGGCGGTGGCAGCTCAAGATGTGGCGTTTGTGGCGCGAGGCCACACGACGCCGAAGCATGTGGTTACCGTCATTTGTTGTGTAATGTGTGTGGTCAAAAGGGGCATTTAAAAAGAATGTGTTTAAATAAAAATGTAGCTAACAGGCCTACGGCGACAAGGAGCGCAGTTTTTAGAAAAAATGGTAGTCCATGGAACAATTATATTTTTGAATGTATTGACAGTGATGATTGTAGTGAATTGCTACAGGTTAATGACACTAGATATGACTCTTCTACTGTTAATAATATTTTGTGTAAGGATGAAAACCCGCTGGCTCTGGAGGTGAGTGTGCGGGGTGTTGCACTCATTATGGAGGTCGATTCTGGAAGTGGGGTGTCGGCACTGCCCGGACACCTGTGGCGTATGTATTTTTCTCGGTACACGTCGCTCGGTAAGTCAAATAAAACTTTACGTACGTATAATGGATCAGTCTTGAGTCTGCTCGGAGTTTGTAAGTTACCGGTGACGTATAATAATGTAACACACGATATTCATTTTTATGTTGTAGATAATGGTCCCGTTCCCTTGCTAGGCAGGGACTTCATGTCAAAATTTAATTTTGCCCTGATTTCGCTAAATTATTGCTCGTTAGGAAAAGGAGAATCAATTTTAGACAAATATAAAAGTTTGTTTTCGGGTAATCTCGGCACGTTTAATAAATATAAAATAACATCACATTTAAAAGATGGTGTTACGCCTAAATTTTTTAAAGCTCGGTCTGTGCTATTTGCACTTAGAGATAAGGTTGGAGAAGAGTTGGACCGTTTAGTGCGCGTTGGAATACTCAAACCGGTTTCTAATGTGAAATACGCGTCACCGATCGTTGCTGTGCTTAAGAAAAATAATGACGTACGTATTTGCGGCGATTATTCAAAGACTATTAACAAAGCATTAATCGTAGACTCTTATCCGTTACCGAAAATTAGTGAATTATGTGTATCCTTACACGGATGCAAATATTTTAGTAAGCTCGATTTATCAAGTAGCTATAATCAGTTTCCACTGGAAGAAGCGTCACAAGAGTATACGTGCATAAATACGCATAAGGGTTTGTTTGTTTACACGAGATTAGTCTTCGGTTTGGCGTGTTCGCCAGCTTTGTTCCAGCGTGCTATGGTGCAACTTCTACAAGGTATAGAGGGTGTGGTGTGTTTTCTTGACGATGTGTTAATCGCTGCTCCCACTCCCGAATTACATTGGAAACGCGTCGATTCTGTATTAAGCAGGTTTCGTGATGCTGGTCTAATGTTACAGCGATCCAAATGTTCTTTTTTTTTTTTTCAAAATAGAATAGAGTACTTAAGCTTTCTTATTGACCACTCTGGTATTCATACAAATCCCGATAAGGTGGAAGCTATTTCAAAACTAAATATCCCAGAGAACGTTAAGCAGTTAAAATCGTTTTTAGGATTAGTTAACTTTTATCGTAATTTTATACCGCAAGCGGCGGTTATTCTTGAGCCACTACATAAATTATTAAGGAAAGATGTGCTTTGGGCTTGGGGTGCAGAACATCAAAAATCATTCGATGCAATCAAGAGCGAGTTGAGCTCGAGTCGCGTGTTGGCACACTTTGACCCGAGCCAGCAACTGGTGCTAACGGTGGACGCGGCGCCCGGCAGGCTGGGCGCGGTGCTCGCCGTGCACTACAGCACGGGTGCTGAGCGACCCATCAGCTACGCTTCTCGTGCACTCAGTAAAAGTGAGCGAGCTTATAGTCAAATTATGAAGGAAGCAACTGCTATTATTTATGGTATCAAAAAGTTTCATCAATATCTGTATGGTCGACAGCAACCATTCATATTGAGGACAGACCATAAACCTTTCTTATCTATTTTTTCACCTGATAAGGGGGTTCCTCAGATGACGGAAGCCCGGCTGCAACGTTATGCTTTGTTCCTTTCGGCTTATAATTATAAGATAGTGTTTATAAATAGTGAGGGAAATGTGACAGACTATTTGAGTAGTTTTCCTATCGATTGTGATTCGTCTCGAGATACGGCAATCTCAGAATTTTCGATTCAGAGTTATGTGAACGCGCTAGCTGCGGCGGGCGCGCCACTGCCCGCGTCGTTAAATGACTTGCGCGATGCTTTCAAACAAGATAAAATCCTGTCAATTGTTATGCACCATGTTACTCATTCGTGGCCGCGGAAGGTTCCACCGGAACTGCTGCCATATTATCGATGCCAACATGAATTATATATTGATAATAACATTTTAATGAGGGGTCATCGAATAGTGGTGCCATCAATTTCTAGGAAAGCGGTGTTGCAAGAACTGCATGCCGCACACTTGGGTATTATTAAATTAAAGATGTTAGCTAGAGAACGCTGTTGGTACCCGGGTATCGATCACGACATAGAAGTATTGGTTTCTCATTGTGACCGATGTGTATCCTTCCGGGCTAACCCCACGAGAGCATGCCTTGAACCCTGGGAATGGCCCAGGTCGGTTTTTGAAAGAATACATTTGGATTATCTCGGCCCCTTTCGTGGAAAAATGTTTTTAGTGGTGATTGATGCTCACAGTAAATGGATCGAATGCGAATTAATGTTAAATTTGTTAACGAAAGATCTTATCATTAAATTAAAGAAACTCTTTTCTCGTTTTGGTTTGCCCAATACTATTGTTACAGATAATGCTAGAACTTTCGTTTCGTCTAATTTTCTAAGTACTGTACTGATAACGGCATAACTCACATTTTGTCTCCCGCGTATTCGCCACAAAGTAATGGACTCGCCGAGAACGCGGTTAAGATTTGTAAGCGTTTTATCATTAACGCCATCAAAGATAGCGGCTTAAAGGATTTTGTAAGTCAATTAGATAACTATCTGTTTCATTACCGGAATACACCGCACTGCACTACGGGTGTGTCTCCTGCGTCACTCATGTTCGGTCGTAGTTTACGCTGTAAACTAGATTTATTTGGTAATAAGTATAAAAGCATAAGTTCAAATTCCGAAACACAGTTGCACAACCGAGTACTATTGAATCAAAACCGACAAAAATATTGGTTTGGTGGCAAAATAAAATCGTTTACGTTACGAGACAGAGTTTGGGTGAGGGTCTATCGATTTAACGCGAAAAGACCACGATGGATCCTAGGCCAGGTCATTGCGCGAGTTGGTAAATAAATGTATGATGTGGCTATACTAGGTACCGATATTGTTTGGAGGCGTCACGCGAATCAATTAATTTCGGCCAATTCTTATAAAGGTAATAATTGTACTGGAGCATGGACGTTTGAGGACGTGAGTACCGAGGATAATCCTTGTTTATCTACTTCAGGCTCAGTAACACAGCTTACAGGCCGGGTACCCCCAGGAACTACGCCTAACACTCCCACTGTGAACCAGACCTTGCGCAGTAGCAGTGAAGCCTCCGAGTGGGCTGAGTCAGAAGACTCATTCGGTACGCCGTCAAATGCAACAGACTTATGGCAACAACCCCGCACACCTATTCCTGACGAACCAGGTATTCGCACTCGATCTGTTCGCTTGGTAGTACCACCTAAACGATTAATTTTGTAACTTTTTGTTTTTGTTATTTTTTTGTTTTGATTACTGTTATGTATTAGGATAATTAGTTTTTATTTTTTTTGTATTATTTGTCTATATTGTGGAGGAAGAAGTACTATTGAGAAAAATATTGTTACAAACAAATGTTGTGAATTCTCTAGTTTACAATATTTCTCGAAATTCAATGCTATGTGTATAATTACAACATTGTACGCTGGTACCTAGTCAAGTTATAGGGAGCCGTGAAGAGCTTTTTAAAAACTAAAAATAAAACTAAGAGATGTCTGTACAGAAGCTCATGTACTTTCAGATTGAATGACTTATTCTAATTCGTCCTGTTGCAGACTTACATTATCTATTGCTTATGGCAGTGTCTAGACATGGGCCACACATAGAGTGCAAAGTCAGCAAGCGTTACTATGCGCGTACTTCTATGACTCTGTGTGGGGTCGAATTCATAACTCCTCCCTCCCCAAGAGCGAAATTATCGGCATTTTCAGGAATTCGATTATTTCGCCCAAAAAAACACACAATTTATTTTTAAAATACTTAACTACGACAAAAATACAGAAAATAGTTAACATAATAGCATACAATAATATAGTTCCTAAACTAACACTTTTAACGTTAATAGCACCGGCACTTTCACTGAAATTGACCTTTTTGAGTTTCACTAATTGGTTCAACTGTTTTGTTTCATCTAAACTTATACCTTTTAGGCTCGCTCCATTGACACTGATAGGCTTTATAACTTTCAATTCTGGTAAGTTGGTTATTGGATAAAGCCGATAATTTAGATTTTCCGCCGAAGATTGGTGGTACTTGAAATGGATTTTTCCGATCTCGGTTTCACAAGCATCATTCATGGTGATAATGTAAGTACCATGTAAAGACTCGTGAGTGGCGTCATTGCCGCATTTTCTATTAAGTAGAGTGTGATTTTTCACATAAAGTATCCAGCTTCCAAGGCTTATACGTTGGGTTTTGATGTTTTCGATTTCAATAGCATGTTGTTCACATGCATCAGGATTTTGTTGAAACTCCATGAGTTGTTCGACGCAGCTTTGTTCCGTATGGGGTAGCACGTCGTCGTTATAACAAAGGTAACGGTCATCTTCTGCAATCTGCTTACAGGCTCTTAGGACTGGTAAGTACTCCTTATCTTTCACCAGGAGGAATGGGTATTTTGGGATAACGATTACAGTTTGGTTTCTAACGTGAACAGGCAAGGAATAAATTTTGAAATAATTATAAATCTTATTATCCACTAAAGGGACCTCGAGTATAAACGTGATCTGGTTTACTTTGACAAAAGCTTTAACTTTGATACAATTTTCCAACTTAACTAAGTTCTTTTCATTTACAGTGTATAACAAATTTTCAGTTTCCGCAATTTCGTATAATAATTTTAACAGTTCTGTAGAGTTGACAATTGATTGATGCAGGACAGAGACCTTACTAAATGCTAGTGCAGTTTCAATTTCTCAGAGTATTAAATTGATAGTTCTAAAGTTATGGGAAAACATATTGAACATTCCTAATATATAAGTTGAATAAATTGAATTTTCCTCTTTAGTGACCATATTTTTAACAATTCTTTCAATTCTCTTTAACCGTTCATCTAATATTAATGTATTGTTATGTAAGGTTTCTGTACCATTTATTACATTATTCACAACTTTTGAGACTAATGTAAATTTCGTTTCTGTCACTAACTGATTATCTTGCAATTTAGAAATCAAAGAGTCATATCGGATTGCATCATCATGGTATAAATTTCCGGTAATAATTTTTATCATAGAACCGAGAGGGTTAATAATGCCTCTTTTGAATCTTTTTGAAGGTACTATTTGCCGAAATTTTTCAATAGTTGCATCCTTTAGATACCCTACTTGTGTACGGATACCGAGAAATTCGTAAATATAAGGTTTTTAATATATCAATCAATGACGTAAACTCTTTGTATTTCGTTACACAAAATTCTAAGTCTGTTTCTAAATGTTTTAAATCAAATGTTTTAATTATAAGCCACTTGTCTGTTTGCATGGAAGCATGACCTTGCTTGACGGGCAGGATCCCAGGGTTCCTTTCAAGTTTTTGAAGTTGAAGGGCCCGTGTTTGTCGGTCTATCATCAGAATCATCATCGGACACCACCTGTGGAGGGCGTTTAATATTTTTAATTGGTACTGTGGTATTCCTACTACCAATTCTAACTGGGACTATGTTTCGTTCTATTTTACCAATGACAACGGCTTTTCTATATCGCGGCTTATCCTTACTTTTTCTAGTATTACATTCTTTCGCGTATATGATATCACCTATTTTAAAACTTTTATCTGACTCTCCGCCCTTTTGTTCTCTAATTTTTTTCTTATGTTGTAACATTTTATCTGATATGTAGTCATATAAATATCTAATGCGTTTGACGTGATCTTTAATTAACTGTTGTGTATAATTCTTTTCAAAATTCGCTGTAAATGTTGAATTTGAATCGGTATGACCAAAAACTACTTCGAAAGGAGTCAGACCGGTTGCAGTGTGTATAGTGTGATTATAAGCCATGATGGAGTAAGACATTACAGTTGCTGCATCTGTACACTTCCGTTCGTATTTTGCCAACCTATATATCTCTATAATTGTAGAGTGGAACCTTTCAATTATTCCTGTGGAATTGGGGTTATTAGGAGTGCTAATGTGTAATTGTATGTTGTACATAGCTAAAAGTTCTTTTAGAAGGTCATTATTAAATTCACTACCCGGGTCGGATGTGATTCTCTTAGGTGTTCCATATATAGAGAAATATTTAATTAACGCTCTTACGATTTCCGGGGCTGATCTATTTGTAATTTCTATGGCTTGACCTAATTTGCTAAATGCGTCAACTAAGGTGAGGTAATAAATAGATTCAATTGAAAATACATCCATAAAAATTTTCTGAAAAGGGGCATTTTGGGTTTGCGTTAGTTGGAGTAGCGGTTTTATAGGTTTCCTGTCATACTTCATCTTTCTACAACAATCACAAATATTAATCACTGCGGCGATAGTTTCTTGCATGTTCTGCCAATAATAATTACGTCTAATTCTGCTCATTGTTTCTTTTATTCCTCTATGACATGTCTTTCCTTCATGATGTTGTAATATAATTTCCTTCTGTTCTTTATCGTCTTCCACATATATGACACGCTCTGTACATTCAAAAAACTCTACCATTCCCTTTTTAAATAACTGAATAATTATTCTAGAAAATTCGGCTCTATGTTGGACGTTCTCGAAATAAATGAAATATTTACATTTGGGTTTAATATATTCTTTTAAAAAGTTTTTTAATTAAAATTTCGTTGTTTAAAGGGGCGAAAACTTCAAGTACTTTTTGTTTATCTCTGGATAAATTTCTTACTTGTAGTTCATTTTTATTCCATGTAAATACTAATATTTGGTTAGGCTTTGTGTCAATGGCTTCTTTTAATATGGGAATACCGTTAGATTCTAAGTCATTGTCCAGAATGTACTGTCACGGTGCTACTGTCAGAGGATAAAGGTGGGATTGGGTATCTAGGTTCATTTTCGAATTCGTCAACGGACATAGTAGCGGATGTGTCAGTTATCGTTATAGTCCTAGAGTCGTCATTGTCTTGTGACTTTAAGTCTACAATTTTGTTGGTTAGTTCAGTCAAATACTTTTGTAATTTTTGTTCTTTAGGATCTACATTTACTTTCATAGATTGGCCGTCATCTGAGTCTATAGCGTTTAACCTAATACGTGAGAGGGCATCAGCATTACTATTTTGTTTACCATTTTTGTAAATTATATCGAAGTCGAATTCTTGGAGACGTAAACGCCAACGGGTTAACTTACTATTTGGTTCTTTAAGGGAGTAAAGCCAAACTAAGGGTCGATGATCGGTAAATATGGTGAACTTACGTCCATACAGATATGGTCTAAAATGTTTTACGGCCCATATTATTGCGAGTAATTCACGCTCTATGGTGCTATATCTAGCTTCGGTATCACTGAGAGTTTGTACTAGCGTAAGCGACGGGTTTATCCGAACCTATGGGTCCTTGTGATAAGACTGCACCTAAGGCAACAGTGGATGCATCTGTGGTTAATACATAAGGTTTTTCTGGGTCTGGGTATTGGAGTAGAGGCGCGTTAGTTAAAAGTTCTTTACATTTTTGAAATGCGTCGACGTATTTTTGGTCTATAACAATTTTGTTTCTTTTCTTTAGGCACGCCGTAAGAGGTTGAGTTATACGTGCAAAGTCTTTAACGAATCGCCTATAATAACCGATAAGTCCTAGGAAACTTTTTATTTCCGTAGTTGTCTTCGGTAGTGGGTAATTTAGAACAGCTTTAATTTTGTCGTCGTTAGGTTTTAGTCCATCTTTAGTAATTACGTGTCCTAAGTACAGAACTTCTTTTCTCAAGAATTCAGACTTGTCAAGTTGCACCTTTAAATTAGTCGCTCTGAGTCTGTCAAATACGGTCCTTAACTTTTGTAAATGTTCTTGGAGACTACTAGAAAAAATAATTATGTCATCCAAATAGACCAAACAATGAATTCCCTGTAAACCTCTGAGGATGTTATCCATGGCTCTCTGGAAGGTAGCTGGAGCTGTCTTTAGGCCGAAAGGCATTCTAAGGAACTCATAGTGTCCATTTTCAGTACTAAACGCGGTCTTTTGTCTATCGGCTTCATTAATTTCAATTTGGTGATAACCACTCGCTAAGTCCAAAGTCGAGAAATATGTGCTCTTACCTAATTTGTCGAAAATGTCAGTAATATTAGGGAGTGGATATTTGTCATCAACAGTTATTTCGTTTAGTCGTCGGTAATCAATAACCATTCTATATTTGATTTCTCCGGATGCGTCTTTCTTTTTAGGAACTAAATGAACGGGGGCTGACCAAGGTGAATACGATTCCTGAATAACATTGTCATTTAACAGTTTTTCCACCTGATTTCTAATTTCCTGCGTTTGAGCGGGAGGTTGTCTATAGGGCTTA